ACAACCAGCCTGACCACAACCATCCTGAGTACAACCAGCCTGACCACAACCAGCCTGACCACAACCATCCTGACCACAACCATCCTGACCACAACCACCCTGACCACAACCATCCTGAGTACAACCAGCCTGACCACAACCAGCCTGACCACAACCAGCCTGACCACAACCATCCTGACCACAACCATTCTGATCACAACCATCCTGACACAACCAGCCTGACCACAACCAGCCTGACCACAACCAGCCTGACCACAACCAGCCTGACCACAACCAGCCTGACCACAACCATCTGACCACAACCATCCTGACCACAACCGGCCTGACCACAACCAGCCTGACCACAACCAGCCTGACTACAACCATCCTGACCACAACTGGCCTGACCACAAACATCCTGACCCACAACCATTCTGACCACAACCACCCTGACCACAACCATCCTGACCACAACCATCCTGACCACAACCATCCTGACCACAACCACCCTGACCACAACCATCCTGACCACAACCATCCTGACCACAACAGCCTGACCACAACCAGCCTGACTACAACCATCCTGACCACAACCACCCTGACCACAACCACCCTGACCACAACCACCCTGACCACAACCCCCTGACCACAACCACCTTAACCACAACCACCCTGACCACAACCACCTTAACCACAACCATCCTGACTACAACCATCCTGACCACAACCACCCTGACCACAACCACCCTGACCACAACCACCCTGACCACAACCACCCTGACCACAACCACCTTAACCACAACCACCCTGACCACAACCACCTTAACCACAACCACCCTGACCACAACCACCTTAACCACAACCACCCGACCACAACCACCTTAACCACAACCATCCTGACCACAACCATCCTGACACAACCACCCTGACCAACAACCACCCTGACCACAACCACCCTGACCACAACCACCTTAACCACAACCATCCTGACCAACCACCTTAACCACAACCACCCTGACCACAACCACCTTAACCACAACCATCCTGACCACAACCATCCTGACCACAACCACCCTGACCACAACCACCTGACCACAACCACCCTGACCACAACCATCCTGACCACAACCATCCTGACCACAACCACCTGACCACAACCACCCTGACCACAACCACCCTGACCACAACCACCCTGACCCACAACCACCTTAACCACAACCATCCTGACCACAACCACCTTAACCACAACCACCCTGACCACAACCACCTTAACCACAACCATCCTGACCACAACCATCCTGACCACAACCACCTGACCACAACCACCTTAACACAACCATCCTGACCACAACCATCCTGACCACAACCACCTTAACCACAACCATCCTGACCACAACCATCCTGACCACAACCACCCTGACCACAACCACCTTAACCACCAACCATCCTGACCACAACCACCCTGACCACAACCACCTTAACCACAACCATCCTGACCACAACCATCCTGACCACAACCACCCTGACCACAACCACCTTAACACAACCATCCTGACCACAACCATCCTGACCACAACCACCCTGACCACAACCACCCTGACCACAACCACCCTGACCACAACCACCCTGACCACAACCATCCTGACCACAACCATCCTGACCACAACCACCCTGACCACAACCACCCTGACCACAACCACCCTGACCACAACCACCTTAACCACAACCATCCTGACCACAACCACCTTAACCACAACCACCCTGACCACAACCACCTTAACCACAACCATCCTGACCACAACCATCCTGACCACAACCACCCTGACCACAACCACCCTGACCACAACCACCCTGACCACAACCACCCTGACCACAACCACCTTAACCACAACCATCCTGACCACAACCACCCTGACCACAACCACCTAACCACAACCATCCTGACCACAACCACCCTGACCACAACCACCCTGACCACAACCACCCTGACCACAACCACCCTGACCACAACCACCCTGACCACAACCACCTTAACCACAACCATCCTGACCACAACCATCCTGACCACAACCACCCTGACCACAAACCACCCTGACCACAACCACCCTGACCACAACCACCCTGACCACAACCACCCTGACCACAACCATCCTGACCACAACCACCTTAACCACAACCATCCTGAACATCATGACAATCACAATACCAGCCATACTCACCCACATGAACTCCAACACCCGTCCACCCACCCAAAAATAAACACCCACCCTCCCATCTAAACCCAAACACCCATCCAAATCCCCCTGACTCCCTCTTCCCCCCTCAACCCCCCACTATTGTACCTGTAATCCCTCCCCTCCTTTCCTCCCCACACAATCTAGTGTTCTGTCTATCTAGATAACTCCCAGATCACTTACACGGCCGCTATCTTCCTTATCATCTGTCAGACTCACTTTTATGGTACTTATACTTATCTAGTAGATCACACCAGATAAGTGGGCCTCGTTGTGTGTGTTGGGGGGAGGAGGGGAGATAATGTGGGGGTGAAAGGTGGTGGTGTGAAGAGGATATATATGGGGTGTAGAAGACGTGTATGAGGTGTAGAGGACGTGTATGGGGTGTAGAGGACGTGTATGGAGTGTAGAGGACGTGTATGGGGTGTAGAGGACGTGTATGGAGTGTAGAGGACGTGTATGGGGTGTAGAGGACGTGTATGGGGTGTAGAAGACGTGTATGAGGTGTAGAGGATGTGTATGGGTGTAGAGGACGTGTATGGGGTGTAGAGGACGTGTATGGGGTGTAGAGGACGTGTATGGGGTGTAGAGGACGTGTATGGAGTGTAGAGGACGTGTATGGGGTGTAGAGGACGTGTATGGGGTGTAGAGGACGTTTATGGAGTGTAGAGGATGTGTCTGGGGTGTAGAGGACATGTGTATGGTGTAGAGGAGGTGTATGGGGTGTAGAAAAGGTGTATGGGGTGTAGAGGACGTGTATGGGGTGTAGAGGACGTATATGGGATGTAGAGGACGTTTATGGGGTGTAGAGGACGTGTATGGGATGTAGAGGACGTGTATGGGGTGTAGAGGACGTGTATGGGATGTAGAGGACGTGTATGGGGTGTAGAGGACGTGTATGGGATGTAGAGGACGTGTATGGGGTGTAGAGGACGTGTATGGGGTGTAGAGGAGGTGTATGGGTGTAGAGGACGTGTATGGGGTGTAGAGGACGTGTATGGGGTGTAGAGGACGTGTATGGGGTGTAGAGGACGTGTATGGGGTGTAGAGGACGTGTATGGGGTGTAGAGGACGTGTGTGGGGTGTAGAGGACGTGTATGGGGTGTATAAAGCGTATAAGGGTGTAGAGGACGTGTATGGGGTGTAGAGGACGTGTATGGGGTGTAGAGGACGTGTATGGGGTGTAGAGGACGTGTATGGGATGTAGAGGACGTGTATGGGGTGTAGAGGACGTGTATGGGGTGTAGAGGACGTGTATGGGGTGTAGAGGGACGTGTGTGGGGTGTAGAGGACGTGTATGGGATGTAGAGGACGTGTATGGGGTGTAGAAGACGTGTATGGGGTGTAGAGGACGTGTATGGGGTGTAGAGGGCTTTATGGGGTGTAGAGGACGTGTATGGGGTGTAGAGGACGTGTATGGGGTGTAGAGGACGTTATGGGGTGTAGGGATTGTATGGGGTTGTAGAGGACGTGTATGGGGTGTAGAGGACGTTTTATGGGGTTAGAGGACTTGTATGGGGTGTAGGGGAAAGTGTATGGGGTGTAGAGGGACTTTGTAAGATAAGATAAGATAAGATTTCGTTCGGATTTTTAACCCCGGAGGGTTAGCCACCCAGGATAACCCAAGAAAGTCAGTGCGTCATCGAGGACTGTCTAACTTATTTCCATTGGGGTCCTTAATCTTGTCCCCCAGGATGCGACCCACACCAGTCGACTAACACCCAGGTACCTATTTGCTGCTAGGTGAACAGGACAACAGGTGTAAGGAAACGTGTCGAAATGTTTCCACCCGCCGGGAATCGAACCCGGGCCCTCCGTGTTTTGAAGCGGGAGCTTTAGCCACCAGACCAGGAGGTGTATGGGGTGTAGAGGACGTGTATGGGGTGTAGAGGACGTGTATGGGGTGTAGAGGACGTGTATGGGGTGTAGAGGACGTGTACATAATACTAATATCTATCATTTAAATCAAATACAAAAACTATCTACCTAACATCGAGCGCCGGGAAAATCTGTCTCAGTTTCTCTACGGTATACAATACCGACAAATATTGTAAGCACAGTACCTGTCGGTATTGTATTCCACTGAATAAATCTATATCAGTCTTTATCACTTACTAGAAGGTCAACTCAGAGCGAAATGCTTTTGGTCATCTGACCGACACCTTCCACTGGCTTACTGGTCCACCCCTTTAAAAATTACGCTTGTAGTTATAACCGTTCAGTTGTTTAAAAGTCTTCTCACCCTGGATGCCCTGGAAGGAAGGAAGGATAGACACACTCACACACACACACACACACACAGGTAGAGTGTGTGTGTGTGTGTGTGTTTGTGTTTGTGTACAATAAACCTGAACCTTCCCAATATTAGTCTCAGCTGGTAATCAGGTGAGAGAACCATAAACACGAGGCTCCTAATTACCTGGGAGGAGGGTGGACCAGATGGGAGGGAGGGGAACTACGTAGGGGTTCGAGGGCTTAGTGTCACAGGGGGGAGGGTTACTTGTTACCTGGGAGTACGAGGGGAACAGGTAAGGAAAGAAGAACCAGGTAGCACAGGGGAGGTTACCTGGGAGAGGGGGGAGACCAGGTGGGTCAGGGGAGGCTACTTTTTCCTGGGAGAATGGGAGACCAGATGGAAAAATATAAGGGCTCACCGAGAAAGCCTTTTACCCATTACCATATAGTAGGTATCGACTTGCTCCCGTTTTATCCCTCTCTCTTAACATTTTCAGCTTTTTTTCTTTCTACTCTCTCTTCCCTCCTCTCTCTACCCACCCCCATTCTCTCTCTCACTCTCTCTCTCTCTCTCATTTAGGTTGTGTCAATGCGGTCAGGACTGCGTGGTTGGCTAGACGCGGGCGAAATGGGTAACTGGCTTCGCCACGTCCGTGTGGCGAATTCACCTATGTATGGTAACCTGCGTCACCTACTGCTCGCTGGACAGGTGAGTTGTACCTATTTACCTACACTTGTGCGGTGTTGTGATACAGCTACTGGGCCCAGGCCCCCCCTCTAACTCTTCTCTCAATTGTGATGTAGTTCAGCTGGGCTTGTGAGGTCTCTGGAGAGACCTAATTTGACCAATTATATGGTCACACCTTGCCTTGGCAGGCGTCTGTAGCCACGCCCACGTCTGAGGTCTTTTGTTCTTGACGCCTCAGACCTAGGCGTCAGGTCGCAACACGTGGTTGTGGAGGGTGCTTGGACCACGATAAAAGCCCAAGGAAGAGCATGATCAGGAGACTCGAGCGGAGCTGCTGCCGGGGTGCAGAGCTCCTGAGCAGAGATTCGAGCGGAGCTGCTGCTGGGGTGCAGGGCTCGGGAGAAGGCTGCCGAAGTCTCTGGAGGAGACTGTTGGAGGCATTGGGCAGAGTACTGGCTTGGCGCATTACTCGTGCTGTATAGGTCTTGGGACCTGTGGCTTAGTTCCTGTAGTGAACTGTCCTCTGTGCTATATTGTAAGTTATATTCATTTTCGTCAAGTTGATTGTGTTCCCTGTCTCACTGCTTATGTGTACCACCCCATTTATCTAAACCAATGATGTACTCCTGTTCCCAAATATATTATTGTACAAGGACTTAATAATAAACTGAGTTTGAGTAGAATAGTAATATTCACTGTCCCCGTTATTTTCTCCATTTATTTATGTTTAGTTTTCATGTAGTAAGAGGGAGTGTAGTGTGGTGGGTGGAGTAATGAGAGGTGAAGTTGTAGTCACCAGTGACCTTACATTATCTACCTACCTCACTCCTACCACCTCGCCTGTCCCCTACCTACTGACTCCCTCCTCTTACCCCCATATTCCAATAATCATTACCCCCCTACATGACACAATAGATGGCAAAACAAAGCCTTTTTTCCCATTGTTTCCGCCAGTAGCTGACGGAGGATCGAGCCTCCACTACTCCATGTCGAGAATAAACCTCAACTGCATTTTTTCCAAACCAAGTTTAATAAAACTAAACAAGAAATTTACACAAATAACCCGCTCATAGGAGGAATATGTGACAACGTTTCGCTCCGACTAACGTTAATGTGTGACTAGTCAATGGACCGAAACATAGCTACACGTTTCTCTCTCCTTTGTGCGGTTTATTTGTAATATATATATATATATATATATATATATATATATATATATATATATATATATATATTATAATATATATATATATATATATATATATATATATTATATATATATATATATATTATATATATATATATATATTATATATTATAATATATATATATTATATATATATAATAAATATATATATATATATTAATATATATATATATATATATATATATATATATATATATATATATATATATATATATATATATATTATATATAAAGTGTGTGTATATGTTTAATTAGAGTTTTTCCCTCTTTCTTTAGATATTCTACGAAGCCATAAGAGACATACCACCCTCAGAGGAACTCCTTCTCATACGCAAGACAGTTATTGATCTGGACACAACTGCCATTGGTGGGTAGCATCCATGTGTGTGTGTGTGTGTGTCTTAGTATGGTGGGTACCATCCATGTGTGTGTGCGTGTGTGTATGTCTTAGTATGGTGGGTACCATCCATGTGTGTGTGTGTGTGTGTGTATGTCTTAGTATGGTGGGTACCATCCATGTGTGTGTGTGTGTCTTAGTATGGTGGGTAGCATCCATGTGTGTGTGTGTGTGTCTTAGTATGGTGGGTAGCATCCATGTGTGTGTGCGTGTGTCTTAGTATGGTGGGTACCATCCATGTGTGTGTGCGTGTGTGTATGTCTTAGTATGGTGGGTACCATCCATGTGTGTGTGTGTGTGTGTATGTCTTAGTATGGTGGGTAGCATCCATGTGTGTGTGTGTCTTAGTATGGTGGGTAGCATCCATGTGTGTGTGTGTGTGTCTTAGTATGGTGGGTAGCATCCATGTGTGTGTGCGTGTGTCTTAGTATGGTGGGTACCATCCATGTGTGTGTGCGTGTGTCTTAGTATGGTGGGTACCATCCATGTGTGTGTGTGTGTGTATGTCTTAGTATGGTGGGTACCATCCATGTGTGTGTGCGTGTGTCTTAGTATGGTGGGTACCATCCATGTGTGTGTGTGTGTGTGTGTGTGTGTATGTCTTAGTATGGTGGGTTTCCATCCATGTGTGTGTGTGTGTGTCTTAGTATGGTGGGTACCATCCATGTGTGTGTGCGTGTGTCTTAGTATGGTGGGTACCATCCATGTGTGTGTGTGTGTGTGTCTTAGTATGGTGGGTACCATCCATGTGTGTGTGTGTGTGTCTTAGTATGGTGGGTAGCATCCATGTGTGTGTGTGTGTGTGTCTTAGTATGGTGGGTAGCATCCATGTGTGTGTGTGTGTGTCTTAGTATGGTGGGTACCATCCATGTGTGTGTGTGTGTGTCTTAGTATGGTGGGTACCATCCATGTGTGTGTGTGTGTGTCTTAGTATGGTGGGTAGCATCCATGTGTGTGTGTGTGTGTCTTAGTATGGTGGGTAGCATCTATGTGTGTGTGTGGTGTGTGTGTGTCTTAGTATGGTGGGTACCATCCATGTGTGTGTGTGTGTGTGTGTGTGTATGTCTTAGTATGGTGGGTACCATCCATGTGTGTGTGTGTGTCTTAGTATGGTGGGTAGCATCCATTGTGTGTGTGTGTGTCTTAGTATGGTGGGTAGCATCCATGTGTGTGTGCGTGTGTCTTAGTATGGTGGGTACCATCCATGTGTGTGTGCGTGTGTCTTAGTATGGTGGGTACCATCCATGTGTGTGTGTGTGTGTGTGTATGTCTTAGTATGGTGGGTACCATCCATGTGTGTGTGTGTGTGTGTGTATGTCTTAGTATGGTGGGTAGCATCCATGTGTGTGTGTGTGTGTCTTAGTATGGTGGGTACCATCCATGTGTGTGTGTGTGTGTGTATGTCTTAGTATGGTGGGTACCATCCATGTGTGTGTGTGTGTGTGTGTATGTCTTAGTATGGTGGGTACCATCCATGTGTGTGTGTGTCTTAGTATGGTGGGTAGCATCCATGTGTGTGTGTGTGTGTCTTAGTATGGTGGGTAGCATCCATGTGTGTGTGTGTGTGTCTTAGTATGGTGGGTACCATCCATGTGTGTGTGTGTGTGTGTGTGTGTATGTCTTAGTATGGTGGGTACCATCCATGTGTGTGTGTGTGTCTTAGTATGGTGGGTAGCATCCATGTGTGTGTGTGTGTGTCTTAGTATGGTGGGTAGCATCCATGTGTGTGTGCGTGTGTCTTAGTATGGTGGGTACCATCCATGTGTGTGTGTGTGTCTTAGTATGGTGGGTACCATCCATGTGTGTGTGCGTGTGTCTTAGTATGGTGGGTACCATCCATGTGTGTGTGTGTGTGTGTGTACGTCTTAGTATGGTGGGTAGCATCCATGTGTGTGTGTGTGTGTGTCTTAGTATGGTGGGTAACATCCATGTGTGTGTGTGTGTGTGTCTTAGTATGGTGGGTACCATCCATGTGTGTGTGTGTTTGTGTGTGTGGTGTGTGTCTGTGTGTGTGTATGTCTTAGTATGGTGGGTACCATCCATGTGTGTGTGTGTGTGTGTGTATGTCTTAGTATGGTGGGTACCATCCATGTGTGTGTGTGTGTCTTAGTATGGTGGGTAGCATCCATGTGTGTGTGTGTTGTGTCTTAGTATGGTGGGTAGCATCCATGTGTGTGTGCGTGTGTCTTAGTATGGTGGGTACCATCCATGTGTGTGTGTGTGTGTGTGTATGTCTTAGTATGGTGGGTACCATCCATGTGTGTGTGTGTGTCTTAGTATGGTGGGTAGCATCCATGTGTGTGTGTGTGTGTCTTAGTATGGTGGGTAGCATCCATGTGTGTGTGCGTGTGTCTTAGTATGGTGGGTACCATCCATGTGTGTGTGCGTGTGTCTTAGTATGGTGGGTACCATCCATGTGTGTGTGTGTGTGTGTGTATGTCTTAGTATGGTGGGTAGCATCCATGTGTGTGTGCGTGTGTCTTAGTATGGTGGTACCATCCATGTGTGTGTGTGTGTCTTAGTATGGTGGGTACCATCCATGTGTGTGTGCGTGTGTCTTAGTATGGTGGGTACCATCCATGTGTGTGTGTGTGTGTGTGTATGTCTTAGTATGGTGGGTAGCATCCATGTGTGTGTGTGTGTGTTCTTAGTATGGTGGGTAGCATCCATGTGTGTGTGTGTGTGTCTTAGTATGGTGGGTACCATCCATGTGTGTGTGTGGGGTGTGTGTGATGTCTTAGTATGGTGGGTACCATCATGTTTTGTGTGTGTGTGTGTAATTGTCTTAGTATGGTGGGTACCATCCAAGTGGTGTGTGTGTCTTAGTATGGTGGGTAGCATCCATGTGTGTGTGTGTGTGTCTTAGTATGGTGGGTAGCATCCATGTGTGTATGCGTGTGTCTTAGTATGGTGGGTACCATCCATGTGTGTGTGTGTGTGTGTGTATATGTCTTAGTATGGTGGGTACCATCCATGTGTGTGTGTGTGTCTTAGTATGGTGGGTAGCATCCATGTGTGTGTGTGTGTTTCTTAGTATGGTGGGTAGCATCCATGTGTGTTGTGCGTGTGTCTTAGTATGGTGGGTACCATCCATGTGTGTGTGTGTGTCTTAGTATGGTGGGTACCATCCATGTGTGTGTGCGTGTGTCTTAGTATGGTGGGTACCATCCATGTGTGTGTGTGTGTCTTAGTATGGTGGGTACCATCCATGTGTGTGTGTGTGTGTGTGTATGTCTTAGTATGGTGGGTAGCATCCATGT